ATACACCGGCAATAGTACCATCGCTGGAAGGATCCATAATGGTTTTACATTTTCTGGACAAACTTCAAGTCACAGATAACAATATCAGACTTTGGATGCAGAAAGATCTGGTCCTGGTAAAACTGAAACAGCTGATGGTGATGGCGGAAAACGAAGGGCTGTCACAACGAGAAATGAAACCTTTTTGGACCCGGAGAGACCAGATCACAGTCAAGGACGGCACATTATTGTCGGGAGCAAGTGTGGTTGTCCTGAGTAATGTCATCGCCAGATACAGGTTCAACTCTACATGCGTTATCCAGAGGTTTCTAAAATGATGATGTTGGCGAGACATTACATACACAAGACTCTGCTGAGCAAGAGAGGCAGTTTACTTCATGGGACGACATTTGATATCGGAACCATGGGAATGGCCCCACATGGGTAAGAGGCATTGTCAATGCAAATTCACTCTAATGACGCATAATGCTCTGATGTTATATTGTGTGACCGTTGGGAACCACATGAAAGCGGCAAACTTGCAAACAGTGAGGGAGCAAAACGTGCCCGGTTTCTTGACTGCTTTTCCCACTGTTCCGGAATCTGTGGGTGTCCTTCCCTGTCAAGTATTGAAGATACCTCAGGATCTAAGATGGACACAGTGGACATCAACGCCTTTGCCGCCTGAAGAGGAGAATGAATTTCTTCCGAGATACTCCAGATCCAAGAGGCAAGCTACTGTGTGTTACACGCTATCCGTATCAAAGGCAGATTTAGAGGAACCTGACCCAGTGCTAAAACGCCCCAGGAAGAGCAACAAAAAAAACCAGCCTATGTCCTTGGACTCAGTGAGAGAAGGATGTAGAAACTGGAACTAGGTCAGCCAGGTGAAACTCAGAGTACGAGTTCCCTGATTGTGGCTGTTCACCTGGTTCAATCAGGGAGCCCTGGCTGACAGATAATAACAGGAGTGTCATACGTCCTGTTCACTCTGAGAGCTGGCTCAGTGTCAAGGGCTTTCCATGTGTAAATAAAGGGTGACTTGGTGATGGGATACTGGTCTCTGTGGAGTTATTTCTGTCATATAGAGATGTTTACTCACACAGTCATTGGGTTGGCACTCTTGAACGGACAACAGAAGTCCATTTCAATTCTCCTTTAGTCTTGTTAATATTTGGAAGGAGAGACTTCCAAATTTCTTTTTACCCTGAATGCATGTCATCTCTTACTGTTCAAGGGTTAGGTTTTATAATCGATTATATGTTTGGAATCTCTGGAGATCTAGTGGTGGTCGGATAGAATCTACCAGAGGTTTAATCCAGGCCAAATTGATATAGTAATGGGAAGGTACAAGATCTTGTATATCCTCAAATAGAGCAAAATAGTAGAGCTGGAAACAAAATCAGAAATTACTGGAGAAACTCAGCAGGTCGGGCAACATCTATGGGGAATGAAATAAGAGTTAATGTTTTAGGTTCAGTATGACTCTTCTTCTGAACTAAAAGAGGTTGTAAAAAGGGTTCTTTTATATGATTAACAGAGGTGGAGGAGAGGAAGGGGGAATCAGATGGTGTACAGGCCCAGTGCAAAAGGTCGAGGTGCTGTCAATGGCGGCGAAAGACCAAAAGAGATGAAAATTGGATATAAATCAAGGTATGAAAGGGAGCGAGTGATCCCAGTGATAGCAAAGTAAATGAGACAAGGCTGTGGGGGTGCGTGGGGAGAGAGGGGTTGTAAGAAAAATGGAGAACAGGCATCATGCAGTAAGTTTCTGATGTTATTATATTCAATATTGAGTCCTAGAGGCTGTAAAATGTCTAAAGGGAAAATGAAGTGTTATTCCTTGAGCTTGCGACGTCCTTTGTTGAAACACTGCAATAGGCACAGGACAGAAATGTTAGCGTGACAGCTAAAATGGCAGGCAACTCAGAAATCAGGGGTTTCATTGCTATGGACTGAGTAGAAGTTTTCCTCAACATGGTGACCCAATCTCCATTTGGTCTTGCCAATGTAAAGGAGACCATATCGTCAGCAGCAAATGCAATACAGTAGATAGAAAAAAGCACAAGTGAAAAATTGTTTTACCTGTAAAGTGGATTTGCGGCTTTGTACAGTAGGAAGGGAGGAGGTGAATGGCAAGTGTAACAATCTCCGTGATTGTATGGGAAAGCATCATGAGGGAAATGAGGAAATGTAAGGCGTGATGGAGGAGCAGACCGTGGTGTCACAGGGGGAATGGTTCCTCCAGAACACTTGACAATGGAGGGTAGGAAGATGTGTTTAGTGATGGACTCCTGCTGGAGATGACAGAAATGGCAGAGGATGATCCTTTGCTTGTGGAAAATGGCGGGGTGGAAAGCAAGGAAATGGGAATGCTATTGCTGTTCGAGGAGGGAGGGAAGTGCAGGAGATGGGTCAGATACGACTGAGGACCTTGCCAACCACAGCAGGGGTGAAGCCACACTTCAGGAAAAGAAGCAAGTGATATTGGAGGCAGTCTGGTAGAAGGTGGTTATCATCAGAACATATATGATGGAGATGGAGAAACTGGGGGAATGAGGCTGGAACCCCGACAGGAATCAATGTGTAAGCAGGTATAGTCTAGGTAACTGTGAGAAAGAATCATAGGTGGGGATTTGAGTAGGACTAGAACAAGGAATGTTCCACATACCCCACAAAGAGACAGGTATAGCTGCGACCCAACTTAAGTACTTGATGAGCGGGGAAATGCAGTGAGATTGACAGCGAATTAGGCATTCAAGGGTAACTGATACATCTGATGTTGAAGGTTTACACTTCATCAATGAAAATTTAGTTACCTTTTGCTTTTGTGGGTTGGACCAAGGCAACTACCCATCAGGAAACGTTTCCACTGTGGAAACTGCCAGACAAATCCATCTCTCGCACTGTTTTTCTTGACAGATGCTAGTTATGGGGAAGAGGCTTGGATGCGTATTGCCATTTTTTTCATTGTTGGACCAGGCGCCTTCCCCAACTCTCCAACCCCTCCAGCACCCAGACACATGTGAGTAACTTACACCGGATGTTTGTTGTACATGATGGGTAGAAATTCATCTACTGGCAACATCTTCCCAAAAGGTTCAGCAGCCACCAGCTTCTTGGCCCCCTGCTGAGATATGACGTAGGCCAATGTCCAGTAGGAATAATCTGCTTCCACCAGGTTCCTAATGCCAGGCACAGATTTTTCCGGATGTTCCACTTGCATCCGCTTTCGACCAATGTAGCTGAGGTAAAAACAGCAATGGAAAATGTGTGACTTTGTGGGAAAGGAGCAAACTGACACAGGCTAATTATAGCTCCAGGTCCTAAAGCATAAGAAGTTAGAACAGGAGGAGGTCATTTGGGCCCTCGAGTCTGCTTCACCATTCAGTCGGATCATTGCTGATCCGACATTTCTACCATTTACTTTCCTGAATTTTCCCTATTACCTCAATTCCCCTACTGACCAAGAATCTCAACCTTAAATATACACAAGGACGTTGCTCCCCCAGCTGACTTGGACGAGAAGTTCCAAAGACTTTCAAACCTTGGAACAAATTCCTCCTCATCTCAGTCTTAAAATGGTACCCTTTATTGGGAGACTATGCCCCCTCATCCTAGACTGTCCCTTGAGGGATAACATCCTCTCAGCATGTATCCTGTCAAGCTCCTTAAAAACCCATATGTTGCAATGAGACCATAACTCATTCTTCTAAACTCCAATGAATAGAACCAACATGTTTAGCCTTTCCTCCAGATCCGGGATCATCCTACTGAACGTTGTGAAACCACCTCTAATGAAATGATATCTTTCCTTAAATAACGGGACCAAAACTGCTCACATCCAAAGATGCTGAGACATCACTCCTTTGCATTCTGGGAGTTGACTTTGCAGTCACCACGGATGTGAAGGGCATCATGGAAGACCATCCCTGGTGACTAGCAGGAGGAAGGGCATCCAACCGGAGGGTGCCAAGATATTGCTTGCTTGTGTTCTGTACAGTTGCATATCAAATCAACAAACAAAACATTGGATTTTGACTCGATCCGAAAACAAAACCAAAGACCTCCTTTATGCACGCAATACTAAGATTTATGTACATTTGAGACACTAGGTGTGTCCAATAACTGAATTGATCCCCATTTACGTTCAGCAGAAAGACATCAGTCAGTGGTCTTTTCCCACTGCACCTTGGCAGCAGCTGCCCCAAACTTTACTGTGTCCCTCACAGTGTCCCTCAGCACGTAGTCCTGGACCTTGGAATGTGCCAATTTGCAACACTCGGTCGGGGTCAACTCCTTGTTTTGGAAGACCAACAAGTTTTGGGCAGACCAAAGAACATCTTTCATCAAACTGATGCTCCTCCAGGCACAGCTCGTCTCGGTGCGCGTCCCAGGGAACAGACCGTACAGCACAGAGTCCTGCGTCATGGAGCAGCTCGGGACGAACCTTGACAAAAACCACTCCATCTTTCTCCAGACTTCCTTTGCAAAGGCACATTCCGGAAGGAGATGTGTGACAGTCTCACCCAACAGCTGCTACAAGGGCAGCGTGCAATGGCGCAGACCAACCAAAGGTACTTAAAGGATCTCACAGGTAGTGCTCTTCTCATCTTTAGCCAAGTGATGTCTTGGTGCTTGTTGGAAAGTTCTGGTGATGAGGCATTCTGCTAAATAACTTTGACAGTCTGCTCAGGAAATCTCGCAATAGGATCCACCCTCTCCTTTTCCTTCAGGGTCTTAAGGATGCTACATGCCGACCACTTTCTAGTCAAGGACTTCGATGGTCAAAGATGTTTTGTTTTGCAAATTTCTCTACGAAGGTCAGATGGTACCGAACAGTCCAACTACTTGGAGCGTTCCACAGCAGCGAGGCCAGTCCCAGGTGGAACCTCAGCACATAGTGAGACTTGGTGTTTGTGTATCGAGGGTCTACACACAACTTGATGCAGCCGCACACAAAGGTGGCCATCAGGATGAGGGCAGTGTTGGGTATGTTCATCCCCCTGACTTATCCAGAGTTCTGAACATGGAGTCCCTTCAGACCTGGTCTATCTTAGGCTTCCAAAGGCCAATGTTTTATTCTTTTTTTTGATATGCAACTGCACAGAACTGAACTGCATTTGTGACAATGTATGTACACACAGAGATTTTTACGAATGAAGAATATTTTTGAAATAATAAAAAGAGAGGTTTGGGCAGCCGCCACCAAGGTTCACTGGGGAAAAGACCACTGTCTGAGGTCGTTCTGCTGAAGCTAAACAGGGGTCCATTTAGTTTTTGGACACTCCTAGTGCCTCAAATATAAATATTAGTATTGTATGTACAACAGAAGTCTTTGGTCTAGAGAAGATCCAGGACTACATGCTGAGGGACGCACTGAAGCTTGGGGCAGCTATTGCCAAGGCACAGTGGATTAAGATCACTGTCTGAGGTCTCCCTGCTCAAGGTAAATGGGGAGCTGGTCAGCTATCAGACCCTCCCAGTGTCTCAAATATATGTAAATATTAGTATTGTTATGTGCAAAAAAGGTCTTTGATATTTTTGGATAAAGTCAAAGTCCAATGTTTTGCTTATTTGATATTCAACTGTAAAGAACCAAACTGCATTTGTGACAATGTATATATACAAGCGATTTTTTATGAATAAAGTACATTTTTGAAATTTAAGAAACAAGCATTCTGGGCATGGAGTTTGCAGTCAGCATGAGTGTGAAGGGCATCTTGGAAATCCATCCCTGGTGACAAGCAGGAGGAAGGGCACCCAACCAGAGGGTATTGAGGTATCGCTCATTTGCATTGTGGGAATGGACTTTGATTTCGAGCGGGTGTGAAGGGCAACGTGAAAGAACCTGGTGTCAAGGAACAGTCAGCCCCAAACAAAACATAACTGGAGTGGTTCCTTCCTCCTCTAAAAAAAAAAGGCAAGGTTCAGAGGAGAGGAGACATAGTAACGTGAGAGGAAGGTTGGCAGTGAGAGTTCCAGCGACTAAAGGAGCGCAAGCTGAAATAGCTTCTGAAAGTGGTTGTTGCTGAGCAAGAGGCAAGTTTTGAGAAATTGTTATCAGAACAGAGAGCACGAGAAGCTTCAATTTAGTATTAACAGTATTTCACATGGGAAGTATTAATTAAGTTAAAGAGGTAAGACATGGCAGGAGAGCTTCAAATCTTAGTCTGCTCCTCTTGCTCAATGTGGGAAGCCAGGCACAATTCTAGTGCCTGCGACTTGCATGCGTGCAAGCAGTGACTCCAGCTGCAGTCCTGGAAGCCTGCATTTTGAAATTGGAGCTGCATCTGGGGACGTTGTGGAGCATTCGCGAGGCGGACAGTATTGTGGACAGCACTTCGAGAGAGATGGTCACACCGCAGACTCCACAGGCAAAAAGGGAATGGGTGACCACCAGGCAGAGCAGGAGAGCTAAACAGGCAGTGCAGGAATCTCCTGTGGCTGTTCTCCTGCAAAACAAATATAACATTTTGGATACTATGGAGCGGAATAGCTTCTCAAGGGATAACAGCAGCAGCCAAATTCATGGCACCATGGTTGCCTCTGCTGCAGAGGGAGGGAGAAATAAGCACAGAAATGCCACACACTTATTGGGGGTTCAATCATAAAGGGGAACAGATCGGTGTTTCTGTGGCTGCAAAGGACAGTCCAGGATGGTGTGTTGCCAAACAGGAGGCTGGAAGAACACAGCAAGCCAGGCAGCATCCGGACTGAAGACGGCTAATACACGAAACGTAGACTTCTGCTTTCCTCCAGATGCTGCCTGGCTTGCTGTGTTCTTCCAGCCTCTTGTTTGTCGACCTTGGATTCCAGTCTGGAGGGTGAGGGCAAACAGCCAGTGGTTGTGGTACATGTTCGGACTAACAACACAGGGTTTAAAAAAAACGGATGAGGTCCTAAAAGCATAACATAGGGAACTAGGAAGAAAGTTGAAATGTAGGACATCAAAAAAGACAGTTATCTCAGGATTACTACCAGTCCCACAAGCTAGTCAGAGTAGAAACAGCTAGATATATGAGATGAACACGTGGTGGAAAAAGATGGTGTGAGGGGGGAGGGTTTCAGATTTGTAGGGCGTTTGGACCAGTTCTGGGGGAGGTGGGATACATGAACATAGAGCTTTGTTTAGTACTTGGAACTATGATACTATTGTGATTACGGGGGCTTGGCTGAAAGAGGGACTGGACTGACAGTTCAATGTCCCAGCACTTTGATGTTTCAGGTGTGATAGAAGGGGGTTTGCTACAGGCCTCCCAACAGCCAGCAGGTGATAGAGAAAAGATTATGACAAATTTTGGAAAGATGTAAAAACAGCAGTGTTGTTGAGGTGAGTGATCTTAACTTCTCCTATCTTGATTAGGACTCATTTTGTGCTAGGGGCTTGGATGGGCAGAATTTCTAAAGACCATTCAAGAGGGCTTCTTGACACAGTATGTAAACAATCCCATCAGAGAAGGGGTTCTCCTGGACCTGGTTTTGAGAAATGAGCCCAGCCAGGTTGGTGAAGTTTCAGTGGGGAGCATTTTGGGAGTAGTGATCATAAAACTCACAATATTAAAACACACATGCACAGGGATAACAGCAGTCCTCGGGTGAAGGTGTCAAATTGGAAAGCAAACTACAACAATATTAGGCAGGAACTGGAGAATTTTGATTGGAGGCGGCTGTTTGAGGGTAAATCCACATCGGATATGTGGGAGTATTTGAAAAGGCAGTAGATAAGAGTTCAGGACTGGCATGCTCTCACGAGAATGAAAGATAAGTATGACAAATTACATCAACCTTCAATGACCAGGGATGTTTTAACCTTGGTCAAAAGGAAGCATATGCAGGGATTAGGAGGATGGGAACAGACAAAGCCCTTAAATATACAAACAAAGTAGAAAAGAATTTAAACAAGGGTTTAGAAGAGGTGATGAAAAGTTGTTAGCAAACAGGATTAAGGAGAATCCCAAGGCTTTTTATACATACATAAAAAGCAAGAGGGTAGCCAGGGAAAGGGTTAGCCCACTCAAGGACAAAGAATGGAATCTATGTGTGGAGCCAGAAGAGATAGGGGAGGTCCTAAACAAATAATTTGTGTCTGTTTTCATCAAAGAGAAGGAATTGGAGGAGGATAATCTCAGGGAAGGGAGTGTCGAATTTCTAAACCAAGTTGACATTAAAAAGGAAGAGGGTTACGCATCTTAAAAAGTATTAAGGTAGCTAAGTGCCCAGGTCCTGATGGGATCCATTCCAGAATAGTGAGAGAGGTAAGAGAATAAATTTCTGGAACATTGAGAGACATCTCTGTATCCTCTTTGGCCACAGGTGAGGTCCCACAGGACTGAGGAATAGCCAAATGTTGTCACATTGTTTAAGAAGGGTAGCAGGGATAATCCAGCAAATTACAGGCCTGTGAGCCTCATGTCAATGATAGGGAAATTTTTGGAAAAGATTCTGAGGGACAAGATCTTTTAGTAGTTAAAAGCAAATGGACTTATTAGCAATAGACAGCAAGGTTTTGTGCGGAGAGGTCATGCTCACCATCTTGATCAAGTGTTTTGAGGAGGTAACGAAGATGATTGAGGAGGGTAAAGTGCTTGATGTTGTCAACATGCACTTCACTAAGCCTTTGGCAAGGTCCTTCATGGCAGACTGGTACAAAAGGTGAAGTTACATGGTGTCAGGGGTGAGCTGGCAAGATGGATACAGAACTGACTTAGTCATAGAAGACAGAGCGTAGCGATGGAAGGATGTTTTTCAGAATGGAGGGTTGTGACTAGTGGTGTTCCACAGGGATCAGTGCTGGGACCTCTGCTGTTCGTGGTCTACATAAAAGATGTGGAGGAAAACATGGCTGATCTAATTACCAATCTTTGTATCATCCGCAAACTTGTTAGCATTGTGGATAGTAAGGAGGATTGTCAGAGGATACAGCTGGATATAGATCAGTTGGAGGCATGGGCAGATAAATGACAGAAAAAGAGTTAAATCCGGAAAATTTAGTGTAATGCATTTTGGAAGGTCAAGTACAGTTGCAAACTATACAGTGAATGGTAGACCCCTTAAGAGTATTGATATGCAGATACAGCTTTCTGCTCTTTTTCTACACTTAAATAAGATTCCGTTCATTTGTCCTCTCTTCCAAAATGAGCTACTTCACATTTTCCCACATTATACCCCACTGGACAATTTTTTGCCCACTTACTCAGCTTATCAAAATCCCTGCAAACTGTTTGTGTCCATCTCACAATCTGCCTTTCCACCTATTTTAGTGTAGTGCTTAGATAACCAAACAAGAGGAAAGTAAGAAAACAATACCAAGATCTAAGTGGTCAAAATCGTTCACCTGATCGGTACAATACAAATTAATAGCAGCAATTTGAATTTAAAAGGACACGCAAAGTCCAACTCTTATATTGAATATTCACCATTTTCCCCTGTTTTGATTTCCAAATAGTGCTATTATTTTCATACTGTATGAGGCTGTCTATTGATTTCTAATATTGCACTGCTCAGCTAAAACTTCCAGTTTCCCCTCCTAATCCTTGTTATTTAAACTCAGAAGTGACACAGATAACAGCTCTTGTCAGTACATCAAGCACTTTGAAGTAGTGGGTAGCTTAATTTAATCTTACTCCTCAAGGCCTGTGTTATCATCAACTGTACCCGGGAACATAGCTGGATACAAAACAATGACCCAAAGACCTTCAGCCCCAAATTAGAAAAGCAAAATCTACTGCACCATCCCATGGTCTCACCATATGCCATTCCTGAAATTAGCTGTGAATTAAGAAATTTTCCATTGTAAGCCCACTGCCTCTGAGCTAAACTGAAAACAGTCCACATCGACTTCCTTTCAGATCATTACACACACCAGAGAATCTCATCAGTCAAGGCTAAATTGGGATCAGCACTTTAAGGACTGAAAGACCAAGGCCGAGCTTGTTGCATTGGAGAGACTGCATAAGTTGCAGGTTGGAAATTGTTCTATCCCCTGTATAAGTCAGCAAATTGGTTAAAAGTCCGAGATCTCTCATTGCAGATTCTTGTGGAAATCTCGTTCAGAAAACACAGGCAATACAGAAGGATTCTGCAATTTTAAGGCTGGAAATGTATGTTTTTTTTGGGGTGACAGGTGCCATTATACACGGGACACACCAACTAAACCCCCTCACCTACGTCCTCACCACACTGCAAACAGGAAATGATGGGGTGGGGGTGAGAGCAGGGCATCGTGCAGCGTGGGCTGCAAATGGGGTCAAAGACAGGAGGGGTCAGAGGCAAGGGCAGTGTGATGTTTTGCCATGGCCACACCCCTGCTGCCCATCCATGACCCCTGAATATTCCTAGATAGGGCCAGATTGAGGGATTGCTCCCACACTCCAAACTGTTTACCATGTGGGCATGCTGTCACTGTTCTTGCTCAGCGGGAAGGGAATTACTCATAGCAAGGCAGTGCAGTGGTCAGAACTGAACCATTTAAGATTCTCAATTGACAGTGGGCCAGCGGCAAAATCTGGGCCTTCCTACCAACTCCATAATTCCTATTGAAGGTGGCAGGTATCTATCCCATGCCATCGCACCACATTCTCTTCCCTCTCTCTCATCTTCCCCACCACATCTTAGATGAACAGGATTCTGCCCTGAGCTTTTAATCATTTGTCACGTGGTCACACTCACATCAGGTCCCAGTCCAGCTGGTTCTCCTTGATATCTTCCATTAGTTTTGTTATCCTTCTTCGAAAATGTGGCTGAAACCTATTATCATCCTCCAAGACAAGAACCTTCTGCAACCCTCTGTCAATGACCTGTGTGACAGGGACAGAACATTTAAAACTATTCTGATGCACAGACTAGGCCTGTATTCCTCATGTATGGAGGACAAAGAACAGACTGAGTTGAAGTGTTGAAGATATTTATTTGATTTGCGTACATAGACATCAATTATTTCCTTTGGTAGGAGAGTCTAAAACAATGAGCATAACCTGAAAATTAATGCTAGGCTACTCAGCAATGAAATTAGGAAGTGCTATTTTACACTAAAAGTTATGGAAATCTGGAACTTTCCTACACAACACTACTGATGCTGAGGGTCAATTGAAAAATTTAAAATTACGACTGACAGATTTTTGCTTGACAACAGTATTAAGGATTACAGAACCAAGGTTGAGGAAAGAAAGCTTATTTATTTAGTTAGTTAGTGCATGGTCACAGAATTAAGTAGTAGCCTTTGTCAATGGCTAGGCAGAATTCTTTCAACTCAGCTTCCAATTTAGTCAGTGGATACTCCTGAACACAGAGAGTTTGGATGGACCACAGCTGCACCCTTGTGACTCCATTGATGTTGGACAGCTGCTCAGAGGTCTTGGCTTAAAAGGGTCCAGTGTCATCCTGCAGATTAAAGCTGGGTGAAGAAACAACTGGGTCCATGAGGGGGAAGAGCGTGAGTGAAGGCACACTGCAGGTGGGTGAAGGAAGTCATTGAACAAGGGCAGGTATGGGTTGGAATAGATGTGGCTATCCATTCGAAATCACCCACCTGTTAGAAGAGAGGGGCGATATTGCTCAGATGGGAGCTAGGGATATGGGTGTGCGCGTGCGTATGCATGTACTTGTGTGCACGTGTGTGTACTGGGTTTGTATATTGATTGGTTTAGTGATGGGCAGATTATTAACATGCAGGACTCTGCAGTAAAGGATGTGATGGGAAGGGCAGAAGGCCTTAGGTTTAAACCGATCAGCACATTTACTAAAGCAAGAACATTTCAACCTGGAAAGTGCTCGAAGCTTAATTTCTGAATTAAACAACTGAAGTGGTATCTGTCAACTGTAAAGTGGTTAGAGCACAGATGTGTATGTGATCGTTTTCTATAGCAACAATTCACCTTTGTCCAGATCAAATTTAAAATTCTAACCAAAGATTCCTGTGAGTTATAAGCAGTTCCTTGATCTCTGCATAGGTGGCGGTATCTTCTTTGCGAAACAGCTTGTGGTTTCCACCACAAGTTCCATGACATCTATACCTGAGATCAATGGTGATTAGTGTAGGTGCCTAAACCTGTTATTTAAATGTGAAATGTGATATTTACAGTCCATTAATTTTTAAAGTGTGTGACGATGGATACTTTGTCCAACACTGTCAAAAGAGACAGCATTGTATACTAGACGTTGGATAATAATTGCCAATTGCTCACATCTGGTGATGTATAACTCATGTTATGTTTTGTCAACTGAATACATTGTACATCAGGCAAGTTATGAAGTTATTATAACTGAGGATCTACTATCTGAGATCACAAGTGTCATTGCTGGGGGAAACTGGTACAACATTTCCTGATCAATACGCAGACGTTGTAAGATCGCAAACAAAAAATGGTTTTATTCTCAGATGGAACGAGGATATCACATTTGGTTTTGGCTTTTATCTAGTTGCTGCACTGTTCTAGTATTAAAACTGAATACACGTTAGATAATAGCTCAGAGATTCAGACTGCAAATGAAAATAAAAATGGAAAGGACTGCGGATGCTGTAAATCAGGAACAAAAAACAGAAGTTGCTGGAAAAGCTCAGCAGATCTGGCAACATCAATGAAGAAAAAAAATCAGAGTTAACGTTTTGGGTCCAGTGACCCTTCCTCAGAACTGATGGTAGCTGGGAAAACATCAATTTAAATGCAGAAAATAGGGAGGGGGATGGGGTAGAGAGTAAACGATAGGATAAAGGATAGAACCCAGAGAGAAGAGCAGATGGATAGACAAAGGAGTTGATAACAATCTGGTGAGGAGGATGATTAGCTGCTCACAATGTGGTCTCCTCTACACTGGGGAAAACAAAGCGTGGACTGGGTGACCGCTTCACAGAACATCTACATACAGCTTGCAAAAAAGACCCTGATCTTCCAGTTGCCTGCCGCTTTAACATACTACCCTGTTCCCTGGCTTCCTGCAGTGTTCCAGTGAAGCTCAACGCAAGCTGGAAGAACAACACCCCATTTTCCGCTTAGACACCCTGCAGTCCTCAATATCGAGTTCAATAATTTTAGGGCCTAAACTCTCCAATGTCCTTGCGCCCTACCCCACGCACCAGGCCTTGTTTTGAGGAAGGGTGACCGGACCCGAAACGTAAACTCTGATCTGTTTTTCATAGATGCTGCCAAACCTGCTGAGCTTTTCCAGCAACTTCTGCTTACGTTGCAATTGAAAACATTAGTATGCATGTAGCTGCTTTATAAACATAGCTAACAACTGTAAGCCCAACAAGTGAACGTGCAAGACTGATGTTCATTTTCTATAAATCCAAAAAGATTCCAGGATAAGTCACAAATAGGACATCCAGAAAGCACTCTTAAAATGGAGTGACAGATTGTACAAGGCTGTTGGATAGTCTATCGATTGATGGGGTTAATAAGGACTTAACTCTTGCAAAGCACATGACAGCTGTCAAGTTGCAATTTGTCACACCGGGAGCAAGATTATTATTCAAAGATTGGGAAGAAAATGGAGAAATTTGCTGAAGACTAAAGACGTTAAATCGATTGATACCCCCATGCCATCTCTCATCGCGATGGGGAGCTCTACTGCTCTGGTTATTTGGGTAGATTCAGTCACACAATGATCTGCTCTATATCCGGGATAATCCAGCATAAAAAGAATTGGTTGGCAGATTTGAGGCATGGTGCATCCCTTTGACTATTTGCACAAAGTTATTCATAAGAGCAACGCTCCTTTTCATGGAAATTTCTTTCTGTTTCGAACATGAGTAAGAGTCATTCTGATCTGTAACTTCAGCTGCTATCTGAGGCAGAGTGGGCCTGGTTGAGGACCCAGGCCTAACCGTCTGATAGCTTCTCTCTGATATTACTGCCTTGGAAAACGTACAAGGCTGCCACGGGGAAGAGCTAATCTTTGATCATTCTGATTATTTCCAGGAGGAATTGTGGACCTGTGCATGGAAACATCCCCAGGCGGGTAGAGCCTAAATAAGAATCTTCCTGTGTGGGGGAATCATATTTGTGAATCGAAGAATCACTGGAGTGAGGGATTCGAAGGGAGTAATATCAGAGAGATGCTGGCAGACGATTAGGCCTGGGTGCTCTACCAGGTTTACTCTGTTTTAGCTGGGAGCACAGGATGCACATTGGACTGTCTCTTTTACTCATGCATGCATCAGAAGGAAGCTTCCATAAACAGGTCCATTCCTCTTCTGTATAACTTAATGCAAATATGAAAGGGAAGCACCACGCCTCAAATCGATCAACTGATTCTTTCTATGCTGGGTTACCCTGGATATACAGCAGATCACTGCGTGACTGAATCTACCAGAATAACCAGAGCAGTACAGTTCCACATCTCCATCAGAGATGGCACAAGAAGCATAAGGAAGGAGAGGGGCAACATTTTCTATGGAAAACATTCAAAATAAAAACTAAGCAAGGATTTAATTTCTGAAATTATGGTTCTATTTAAGATATGCCAATATAAAAGCAAAAATCAGCTGGAAAAAGTGAGCTGTCTGGTGACATCTGGAGAGAGTAGATTTGTAGCTTGGGTTGTGAATGGTTGGCTCGCTGAGCTGGTTCATTATTTTTGCAGATGGATAAGGAGAACCACCAATTCGACTGGGACAACACCAAGATCCTAGGACAAGCAAAGCACAGACAAGCACGGGAATTCCTAGAAGCCTGGTGCTCCACGAAGAAAGCCATCAACAAACACATCGAGCTTGACCCCATATACACTCCACTGTGAAGGAAAACTGGAAGTGAGGTAATCCAGCTCAACAGACTCCAGAGTTTAAATAACAGGTGGGAAAACACAACGGCGCTTCATCGGAGGTTGCACTGATTATGTTACCCAGCATGGTAACGAAACGTCTGCGAAACAACAAACCAGCTCGGCGAGCCAACCAACCACAACATCTGGAGAGAAACAGAGTTAATGATTCAGGCGATGACCTTTCATCAACGCTAAAGAGAAACAGAAAGTTTGGAGATTTTACACTCGAAATCTCTATTTCTCTTCTGCTTTGTTGAAAGGTCATTAATCTGAAACACTAGCTCGGTTTTTATCCCCTCAGATGCTGCCCGATCTGTTCAGTTTTTCCGACCTTGTTTTAATTGTAGTTTAAATTTCCAGTGTCTGCAGTGTTTTGTTCCCATGTTCATATCTAAGATAGCCATTTGCATTTACTTCAAGAGATGGGACATTCTCAGAGCTCTTATGAAATCTTTGGAGTGGGACAAACATACTTCAACAACACACCTACAAACACTTGTGAACAAGTACTTTAGGATCAATCTTCTTACCTCTTTCCAGATGTAATAATGGCTCAGGAAGCAGCCTATCTCTCCCCGTGTCAGTATTCTTCCTGAGTAAGGGTCATGATATCCTGGCAACATTTCAATGTTAAGAGCTTTCAGATGGCTTGTGTTGAGGGCTCTGTCAAAACAAAACATCTGTCACATTATGATGTCCTATTTCTGAGTTGGAGGAGGGTTAAAAACTATTGTGGAATAGCCCATCCATGATGTGAAATAACCTGGAATGACTACTGAGCCCGCAGTTTTTCCTGTCATTACTAACTCCCAGTTCCAATCTTATGTTGCCTTTGGGTTTGAGGCATGCAGATCACTCTTTAAAAACCTTGTCTTGAGCTTATAGCTTTGTTGATTCATTGCAGCATAAACCCTGCTTGTTCATTTTGGAGTCATCTGAACCAAAGCTGCCATGGTTCATGCTATGCTAGGGCCAGCATCATCTCTCCCATCTGAGACCAGAGGATGGTACACAAGTGGAGCCTCTGGGCCCCAGTGTCAGGACCACTTTGTTTGTTGACATATGTTAATGATCTAGACTTGTGCACAGAGTACAATGACGCAAAACTTGCAAGATCTGAGAACTGAAAGTAGGGTAGTGTTCGACATCAAGAGAACACAGACAGGGTAGTGGAATGAGTGGACATGCGAGATGAAATTTAATGTAGAGAAGTGCAAAGTGATTCGTCTGGGGAGGAAAACAGAGGAGAAGCAAAACAAAAGTCATGGCTGGAAAGGGCATGCAGAAGCAGTAGGTTAATTGTGCACAGATCACCGAAGACAGGACATGTTTGAAAATCAGTTGAGGTATGCAGGTCCTGGGCTAAGTAAAGGCATAGGAGCACAAAAGCAAAGCGGCAGATGTTCCAAAAATTTGGAATGTTATGCAGATTGACATTCAAGCCCTTCTTTCACTTCGGCAAGAAGGGGAGCTCTACTTTTCTGACAGGATAGTCTGCTCAGGGCTCCTTCAGAAATGCAGAGCCAAACATCCATTCTAATAGTTCTCTCGTGTTGTGATTGTAATGAGGTCAGCCAGCTGGACATCACACAGAATATGAGTTCTCTGACTGGAGCTGTTAACTTGGTCCAATCAGGAAGCAATGGTTAACAGATATAAACAGGAGTGTTAAAGGTTCTGACACTGTTAAGACGCAGTGCTCGAGTCAAGGACTAGACTGTGGACTTGCTCGGCGAGCAGGTGTGTTTGACTGCAAATGTTTCGTCACCCTGCCAGGTAACATTGTCAGTGGGCCTCCCGTGAAGCGTTGGTATACTGTCCTGCTTGTTACTTGTATGCCTCAGAGTTAGACTAACGTATTTAACAGTTTAACTCTTCCTGACTAACTATTTAAGTTCTTCAAACCCTTAATTCTCCAAATTGAATGCATAGTTTCAGAGGATTCCAGGAGTCGGGGAATTGCTCAACATTATATTCAACTTCTTGGACAATTCCTCGGGGTTTCACAGGGTCCCCATGTGCAACTCCCATGTACATGTGGAACAACAATTGTCTTGCCATCAGAAGATCCAGAGCAAGGAATTATAATAAATCTGTATTAAACATCACTTCAGCCTCAAGCGAAGAGTTGTGTCTACTTCTGGGCACTGCACTTTAAAAAAGATGTGAAGGCATTAGAAAGAGTAAGGGAGGAGGTTAGGGTTAGGGTTAGAGATAGTATGGGGAGGGGGTGAAATCAGCAAAATGGTTCCAGGAATGAAGAATGTCAATGGGGTGGATAAAGTGGAGAAACTGAGGTTGTCCTTCTTGAAGAAGATTAAGAGGAGATCTGATAGAGACATTCAAAATCATGAGGGGTCTGGGTAGACTAGATAAGAGAGGAACAGAAATGGAGATACTGTTCCCATTGGTTGAAAGGTCAAGACCAGAGGACTCTGGTATTAAAAGATTGACAAAAGAAACAGTGGCGATATGAGGAAAGTTCTGAGGAAAGGTCACCGGATCCGAAACGCTAACCGTTTTTTTCCTTCAGAGTGCTGCCAGACCTGCTAAGCTTTTCCAGCAACTTTGTTTTTGTTCATGATATGAGGAAGTGTTTTAACACAGTAGTTAGGATCAGCAATACACTGCCTGACAGTGGGGATTCAATCTTGGTTCTCAAAAAAAATAAACAAGTGTCTCAGGAAAAAAATAATTTACAGACAGAGGGCATTCTCTCATATTGGCAGGGAGTGGGATGAGATGGGTTGCTCCTGCAGAGATCTAGCATGGACCCGACGGCCTCCTTCTCTGTTCTAACTATCATATGATCATTACAACAGCATTCTTTGCATGGTCACAACCTGCTTTTTATTTCCTGGTCAGAACTTCCTGTTTTACCTCACTCAGAGACAGTAAGAACTGCCGATGCTGGAGTCAGAGATAACACAGTGTGGAGCTGGAGGAACACAACAAGCCAGGCAGCATCAGAGGAGCAGAAAGTTGACGTTTCGGGTCAGGATCCTTCTTCAGAAATTTGTGTTATTCCTGTTTTACCTCCCTGCTTTGCCCTGTGTCCCCGTGCTGGGATTGAAATTAATGGAGAAATAAAAGGTAAAGAATTACTACAGAATTGTTGTTGCGTACCACTGCAGAAATTTAGGGCAGAATTGTCCACGCTCCATGGCGACAGGTACAGAGGGGCTGAGGGGTAGGAAAGGCAGTTGGAAACCTCCAACGGTCGCTCCCCGACTGGTTGTCCTTCCTCGAAACGTCTTTGCCTGGAGTCGGATGCCACAGGAACATGCAACCTGCTCCACAGCTGAGGGGGGTGTCGGGTGTGGAGGGGGAGACGAGGGAGCCAAATGAGGCCCCCCCAGGTAAGTGGACATTTTCTCCCGGCTCTGCAAAACGTCCTGCTTGTTGCACGGGGCAGCTCCTGCGGGACTGGGAACCGCCGATTCTACGGGGTCGACGTCTCACTGGTAACGAGGGCCGAGCCCGTTATTACCTGGCAGCACGTGGGGGGTCGGGGGGGAGGGAAACAGGGCCAGGCACGCGGCCCAGAGGGCCATCCTTCCCGACCCGAGGTCTCCCCCACCCCGCCCCCTCACCACAAGTACCTGTTTACTATTGAGCAGGGAGGCCATTTTCAGCGCTGCCATATTGAGGCGCTCTGTCAAGTCATGGCCACTAAACCGGACCTTGCTAATGCCTTTCTGATTGCGACGCCGTGGTTTTCCCTCGTTCGGCTGTTCCCATTCAATTGGGCAGGAATCAACTGAGGTGTCCCGCCGCAGCAGGAGGAGAAGGAGGCCACTCGGCCCACCTTGCCCACTCTGGCCGCCCACGTGAGCACGGGGCCCTCTCACATGTACTTGCTCCGAGGACTCAGACAAATGAGTCCCGCTGGAGAGTCCAGCCTTTAAAATTAGGGCAGGGGCCGATCGGGTTGATTTTCCATACTTAGAATGAGTTAGTTTTGGAAAGTTTAATTCTGACTCAGCACGCAGCCCATGAGCATCAGTGGGAGGCTAGACCACAGCTTTGGCACATTAACACCCATCCAAACGTTGGGAGATAGGAGTCCAGTCCTATGGAACAGAAATCAGAATCTTCTACCCAGTGTTCTCCACTCAATAACATTTTACTGAAAAACAAACTACATCCTGAAAAAATTCAAAAGGATTCAATGGGTAAACAGAATCTATGCAGGATTATCGTGTTATTTTCTTCAGGATCAGTACTTACTTCCCATCCACAGCATCCACCACCTTGACTTCGATTTCCTGTTCATAAAGCGTATGGAGCATTCGTTTTCTTCTGTCTGTTCTGCGCTTGAGATTTATCATGAAGATCTGAGCACGAATTCACATTGACTGATTATTACCAATGGCCAGGCATTGATTCTTAGCTATTTTAAAGGCTTTTATATATTGCTCGCTATTTGTCTCCTCAATGAAGCACATTTGGAGCTTCTTCCAAACAGATAAGTAAACCACCTACTTTCAATATCTGCTTTGCTTTTCCATTAAGAATTAACCTGTAGAAATGCATTTGGGGATCTATATCTAATGACATTAGTTCTCATAACAGACATCTTCACTGTGCCATTACTGGCAAATGCTTAAGTAACAGTTCTGAATCAAAGAATTTTAATCTTTTAGGTGAACATAAAAGATTCAATGATACTACTCAAAGTTGACAAGGGGAGTTCTTCCCAGCATTGTCACTCTCGTCAATCGATGTGTCAATGAAGTAACACAATAGTCTATCAGTCGGTGGGTCGGTGGAAGTACTGCAATACTCCATTAACGATTGTCTAAATGGGATTAATGCAATACTGCATGAATTAATGAACTAAAGGCCTTATCGTGCTCCTCTGTCAATTGACCCAGTAAATTTCTATTGTCCTGCAAATTTGGCGTCTAATACAGGATGGGGTACATCTCTTTTTCATTATCTGTGCTCCTGACAAATTCAGAATTTGTTGCCCATTCCCATATTCCCTTGAACTGAGTGGCTTGTTCAGCCATTTCAGAGGCTGGTTGAGAATCAAGCACATTGCTGTGATCTGGGGTCACATGAAGGTCTGACCAGGTAGGGATGGCAGATTTCCTTTTCTAAAGGACATTAGTGAACGAGACGAATTTTTACAACAATTAGTGATCACCTTTTGGTCACCATTACTGAGAAGATCTTTCAGATCCAGTTTTATTAATTGGATTTAGAATTCCAACAGTTGCCATGGTGGGATTTGAACCTGTATCTCTACATCATCAGTCAGGGCCTCTGAATTACTGGTCCAGTGACATTCACACCATCTCCAATGGAATGTAGACAAACATAAACAAATTTATCATATAAAAACTTGAGAAAACAACTTGACGTGTTATTCATTTAGTTGTTAGTGGCATCCAATATTTTACCCTGATCCAGGAGTTATGACTTATGACGAGCTTGATTCCTGCACTGATCTTGGCACGGTGTGGTTCCCGAGTAGAGTGGGGTGGCAATGATGGATCAGCAACTAACTGTTTAAATTGTGAGCCCAATCCCATTGAAGCCCATTCAAGTGGAAAGAATGTACAGTGCATCATACAGGATGTAGTGAATATGAGAACATACAGTACTTTGATTATGTTTCAATTAGGTCAGACACGTGAATATATGGGAGTCCGTAGGAAGAGTAGTGGAAGGCAGTACAGTGTCGAAAGCCCCAGGCCCTGTGCCACAGAGTGGTCTGATTTGGGTTTCTACTTGTAGTTTCCCCAGTATCATAGTTTTTTTATTGAGATAATTGTTTTTGTAGGAGGTGTTGAGCCATTGCCAGGGTACAAAAGTAGATCAGAAAGCAAGTTGCCCTGAGTCACACTCATGCCACTTGGCAATAGCTGGAAAGAAAGGATTTAACCAGACTGTACATTTAAGGCACAGAGGCTATTTGTTGTGAAAAGACTTATCCTGAGGGCAAGAGCAGTTTATGCTTCGGAATCATTGCAGATTAACAACATATTTAGGAAATCCAGGGAGAAGCCAAATCAGCAGAATCCAGCAGAAAATAACTGATGTAGTTTCTCTTTTATTTTAAACTCTTCTTTTAAGATGCTACTTGCTATTTAGCACATTCCCACATTCCTCATTGAGCTATTACTTGTTGCCATTTAGGTTCAAGGCAATTAAATTTGAGGGATAGTAGGAGCTGCCGATGCTGGAGAATCTGAGATAACAAGGTGTAGAGCTGGATGAACACAGCAGGCTAAGCAGCATCAGAGGAGCAGGAAAGCTGACGTTTCGGGTCTGGACCCTTCTTCAGAAATGGGAGAGGGGAAGGGGATTCTGAAATAAATAGAGAGCGGGGGAGACGGATGGAAGATGGATAAAGGAGCAGATAGGTGGAGAGGAGACAGACAGGTCAAGGAGGCGGGGATGCAGCCAGTAAAGGTGAGTGTACGTGGGGAGTAAGGTTGAGGATTGGTCAGTCCTGGGAAGATCGACAGGTCAAGAAGGCGGGGTTGAGACTGGTAGGTAGGGGTGGGGGTGGGGATTGAGGTGGGAATTGAGGCTGGTTTTGGGATGCGGTCGGGGGCGGGGAGATTTTGAAGCTTGTGAAGTCCACATTGGTACCATTGGGCTGCAGTGTTCCCAAGTGAAATATGAGGTGCTCTTCCTGCAACCTTCGGTGGCATCGTTGTGGCACTGGAGGAGGCCCAGGATGGACATGTCATCCAAGGAGTAGGAGGGGGAGTTGAAGTGGATCACGACTGGGAGGTGCAGTTGTTTGTCGCGAACCGAGCGTAGGTGTTCCACAAAGCGGTCTCCAAGCCTCCGCTTGCTTTCCCCGATGTTTTGAGTGTTTTTCACGATTTGCAATTGTGACACTTTCAGTTGTGACTGATGCAATCGACTGTCACACATTCTGATTTTATGAAGGCAATTTCACTAGAGCTAGACTGAACGGCAATGGAAGGAAATTGCTTCATCAGATAATACAGTGACATAGAGCTCAGAGTTTGGATTCAGATGCAATCTAAATTAACTGCTGTTAAGCAAACAACTTAAATTCCATTCAGGAATGAACCAGTTCATTACTTAGGCCCTGAACATTAATGAACTGATTTTGATGATAAAATCGATCAAACTCATTTTCAACTTTCACCACTATCAGGAGCCAATCAAATTCTTTGCACACTTTTTTATTTATCATATCACATCAAGGGACAAGAAACACAATCCAAAAGCAGCATCCTCTCCAAAGTGAGCATACCCAGCATCAAAATAATAATTACTCAAAATTAACTCTGCAAGGCAAGATATGTCTTTCATATAACACCAGACTCACAAAGCAACTGTAACGCCATGGAGCTCATTTACTGTTAGGAGGACAGACATGCCTCAGGAATGTCCTCAAAGTATTCCTGAAATGGAATACAATTCATAGGAGCCTCTGGCTTGGAGAAATCTGTTTCAGGAGGCCACTGAACACATCTGAAGACTGTCAGGAACATGTAGAGCTGAAGTCAAGACATCAGAGAATGCACAAATCTGCAAACATCCCACCTAACCAAGCACTTCGAGCAACCCCTGCCCTGCACGTGTCAGAATCTGCAGATTTTGCAGCAGACTCATCAGCCATTTTAGAATCTATTGAACTGGAGCAGGAGCGAGTCATCCTCAGTCCTGATGGAGCCAATGTGCAGAGAATGCTTTCCTGGAGGATGTTAATTGCTTCCCAAAGAGCTTACACCCCACTATCCTGAGTGCTGGCTCGCACTTCCTTTGCACATCCAAATATAATCAGCTAATCAATAACCAACATCTATTTACCTTCTTACCTTCAACTATTAGGGATTTAACATCTATCAACAGAACCTATTTGATGTAACCACCAAGAGACCGACCAAGTAAAAAGAGGATTTACAAAAATGCTAACCATTAATTGCTTGCACTGTAATGATCTAGGGTATTTCAGAAGGGACGTTGTATGGAAAAAATTGACATGACTAAAGAATCAGCTGAACTGAAAAGCAGGAATAACTGGAAACAATCTTAAAGTTTCACCTGAGCAAGTAGCTGATCCATTTTGAGAGAGCGATTCTGTAAAAATGATTCTCAAGCCTTCTCAAAGGCTATGTTATTCTCGACATTTCTAATTAAATAGAAAGCTTCTGTTACGTTAGTGCATTAAACTAACCTTTTTTTTTGCAATTGTTACTAGGACATTCCAAAGTTAAATCAATTCCAGCAGAACTTTGTTGCCTGATAATGGAGAGCAACATGTTCACTGTGCTGTAAAATCAATGCTTTTACAGATGGCCTTCCCTTCCTATAAAAACAAATCTCCACGAAATCCAAAATTAACATTCCACTTATGTCAACCCAGTCTTTGGTGTTATCATAAATGCGTTACTATCCCTGAATCAATACTGAATGATCGAGCTGAACCAACATAGTGGAATGTAAAAATTCTAATTCTATTACACCTGAGATCATTATAATTGTGGGGCAGTTAATTTACTCCATAAGTTAATTCTGAACAAAAACCTGTCATGCTGAATCTAATTTGGGTGCATCCTACTGATTGAATTCTTATTTGCTGCAGCAAAGATCAATCATAAACTGGCAGTCTGCATTCTAACTATTCATGGTATTTAGCTTTTGCACTTTGGCAGTAGTTTCTGACTCGTTCACCAATGAATGTATTGCCTCTTTTTCTCACCTCGTCAAATCCCATCTTGTCCAGGTGTTTTACAGGCGTGGAAACATTACTGGAAGCCTCTATGGGAGGATGGTCAACTGGAAAGCAAAGAAACAATTACCATTGTACACATCTACTGTGGTGTATAGAATGTCTGTATTACCAAGTAAACTTAGTGCCTCCTTTTTATGCATGGTTGGAGATTAATTGTGATTTGCTTGAGATTGAACGTAACTGTGGTAACTCATAGAAAATACAAATCAGGGAATGAGCAGAATATAAGAGTAACTGCAGTGTGTCAGAAAACGGATAAATTGAGTGACAGTATTTATTAAAACTGTCTCAACCCTTGGGTGCAGTTCTGTCAGTGATAATAGACTTACATATCTTGATAGATTGCCCCTTTTGTTTTTGTGCATGAGGATGCCTCAGGCAATAACAGTGGATATTATGGAATGGAATCAGGAGACTTGGCAGGTATGACAACGATTTGAAAGCAAAAACATCGGGACAATCTTTCTTCAACCCCAGCCACCAAAGACAAGGCAACTGGTCATTCACTCAATTTCTGTCTGTGGGTCCATTGTTGTGGTCTTTCCTACCCTTTGTGTCAGGTTGCCAACTATATATTCTGCAAGGGGAACGTAAATGAGGCTTATTGTCCTGAAAACATGTAAAATGTTACAAATCTGATGAGGGTACTGGAAAATGTACTCAAAACAAATTGTCAAGAAAATCCAGAGAGATAATATCGCATGATCAGTCCCCTCTTCAAAAATACAAATAACAAGCCCATACCTGACTGCATTCCCAATGTAACTACTACTTTTTACACATCATGTACATTGCAATCCAATTTTAAAAGGACTTTCACTTATACAGTTGCCTTGAAATAATAACCTCCTTCAGAGGATTGATACAGAGCTGCTTTCAAGTTGCACTTTTTACTGCCATTGCCAATCTTTTTAAAGTAGTTCATTGGAATGTTTATATATGTTAAGTTGGCATGTATGCTTTCCATCCTATGGACAAAATACTTCTGTATTACAAAGCAAAAAAAAAAACATGGTAAAAAAAATACTTAAAAGGAATTGGGGCAATATGTTGAAATAGTCTTTACTCTATCTAAGAATCTTGCAGTATTGCACTGAGAATAGGAGTGGGAAACATAACAAAAGCAGGAATAAAGAGGTAGAAATCCTGCAAGCAAAAGTAAACAGCAACATCACTTCCATATAGTTGCCTGTTTCCCATCTATACCCCTAAATTGCTTATGTTAAATCTTCTGAAAATTCCACTTCTTTCTCCCATTGGAAAGAGTCTGAAACTAACAGCATAATTACTGTCATAGTCACAAATAAATCCAGCAGGGAATAGGAGACAAAATTCTGCACTTGAAATTGGTGGAATGTGGAATTTTCTACCACCAGGTGTCACAGTGGTAACCAAGTTGGAGAGATTTAAGGGGAAGCGAGATAAGTACAGGAGGGAGAAAACAGTAGGAAGGTATGCAGATTGGGTTAGATGAAGTTAAGTTGGTCCAAGTCAAGATTGGCATACCAGTTGGATAGAATGGCCTTTTGTCTGTGCTGTAAATTCCATCTCATTCCTACTTTGCTGAATTCAAATAATTACTTAATATAAAAATAATTCAACTTCAAATGGCTGTATGTATATACTACACTGTGGCTCTCTGTGACAGATATAAGCAAATCTGCGCTGGTTTTACACAACCTTTCAATACCATATACCAGAGCCAGTCCCAAGAAGATCAGTGTTCTGTCTCTTTGACGCTGATACAAATGGAATTGCACTTACAGCCACGAGGACAGCTACAACTCTCCACCTTTCCACTTCAACAACCCCAGCCTGTTTCAATCCTGTTGGGGAGGGCATCACCTCATAAAAAATGACTTCTGGCTGTTAAAATATTGTACGGGAAAATCTTGATATGAAAATTCGGCAGAATGAAACAGTTAATGATCTGTAGTGTTGGCTGGTCAGGGGAAGCTTCAAGTGAACCAGGTAACTCAAACAGCTCTACACCCTGTCATCTCAGATTCTCCAGGATCGGCAGTTCCTACTTTCTCTCACTCAATAGCGTTAGTTTATAGACAAGTTTTTTTGTAGGAAAAGGTGATGACCATTACAATGTAAGAATGGCCCTTGCTCCACAGATGTATTCCTATTTTTCCCTCTCGCCTCGATGAATACATGACACATAGAAACAATCAAATGTACGTCAGTAAATTTTAACAATCATCATGTGGCCTTACTAGTCACGGCTCCAATACGTTTCATTATAGTCAAGGGTCCACTAACTTAGTGAAACCCGCTGTCAAGTCCCACACAAAAATACTGACGAGTTCAACAAGACACCAGAGGGAAATCCTAGTAGCTATTAGCTAGCTCTGTAGCTAAGCATGGAACAAAAACAAAGTTGCTGGAAAAGTCAGCAGGTCTGGCAGCATCTGTGGAGGAGAAAACAGAGTTAACGTTTCGGGTCCGGTGACCCTTCCTTCTGTAGCTAAGCATCACTGTCTTCCAGGCAGAGAGAAGCAGAGCAAGTTGATGTGAAAATGATTAAATCTGAACTTGAGGAAAAATGGTGTGAATGTTTGCAAATATACTGTTAGCACTTTAAACTCTGCCATCTCATTAATTCGTGCTAATCATCAAGATGTGCTAAAAGCTGTTATAAATGTGAAACTTGAGCTTCTCTGGTGATAGGAGTTTGCTACATCTACTGTTTGCAGCATTGAAGGAATAATGAAGAAGGGTGAAGTGGCTAAATCTTTGTCATGGTTTTCAGCCTTCAGGAAATTCCTTCAGGGATTCCGAATGACCAAGCTAACAACAAAGGGTCAACAAGTGCTCAATAAATTGGAAAGTTGATCGCTGATAAGCCTGTTCCCCGTAGCTCAGTCAGGAAAAAGGTTTTACTTTTATAAAGTTCACTCATGGGATGTGGACGCAACTGCTGAGCTAACGTTTACTGCTGGTCCCTCACTGCTCTTGAGAAGGTGCTACTGCACCGGCACCTGGGTCAGATTCCAATATTCTACTGAGTTGACTTCCCTTAGCTGTAGTGGATACAAGCACTTCAATTAGCCTCAGCAGCTCCAAGTTATAAAATGGAACAATGACCATGTCCTTGCTTGTTGCACAGTGTGACCACTGGTGAAAGTGTGCATATAAAAAGATTGACAGTATTTATGAAATTAGCTCTGACACCAATCTCATATTGCCCAAGGGAAAAAACCCCAAAATACTGCAGATGCTGGAAATCAGGAACAAAATCAGAAATTGCTGGAAAACTCAGCATCTGTGGAGAGAAAGCAGAGTTAGCATTTCGGGTCTGGTGACCTTTCTTCAGAACTGAGTTCTTTCTCTCCATGGATGCTGCCAGACCTGCTGAGTCTTTCCAGCAATTTATGTTTTTGTTTCTATTGTCCAAGAACTCTATTTTCAGGCTTGTTATGCCTTTTAATATGTGTTTTGTGAGTTAAAAATCACTCTCAATGTTATTCTTCAATAGTGTGAGGCACAATGAATGATGTGTGTATCCTTGCAATGTGAAACTGGACGCTGGGAGCATAATCTTTATCAGGAAGCTAATGCTGAACTAAATGCTGGTGAACTGCACTGAGTGCTTAATTTTCGATGCCAGCCCATACAAATCACATTCAGGGCTTTTCTCATCAGTCATAAAGGTCATGATGCCTGGAGGGTTGTCAGCATTGAGACTTGATGAGCTTCCAGCTGCTTTGCTTACAGGCCTGTTCCCATCGGTTAACTGAATCTTATGGTCATGCTTTTGCTCAATGCCTTACCAGCAGGTGAACAGGCCCATTTGTCATCATTACTGCACTTTCCTGCCTACCCACACCCTCCACCTCTCAGGGTTGATGAACCTGAGGTCAAACAGAGTTTCCATATTTTTCAGATCTTTGCAGCCAGAATGGTGTCTGAAATTAACTTAAAATTAACTACTTTTTGGCAAACCACTTAATGAGGTAATCCAAGACGAAGGACAGGAAAAATTGTGGCTGTAAGAGTGCTCCTTTTTTGAGGTATTTTCAGTGCTGGAGCTAATTTCCTCGAATTCTAGGAGCAGTAATTATTGTTTTATAAGTTGTTGCATTGTTTTGGAACTTTGGGAAAAAAGATGAAAACAACAGCTCTTTAAAAAAGGAGGAAAGAAGACAAAGGCAGTGACCACATGGTGGGAAGTGAATCAACACAGAAAGAAACCTACACTGCTGTTTGACCCAGCAGTGAACCTTTACAGCTACTGCCTCTGCTGTGATTTCTAGTACCTCTGGATATCGGAGTTCGTCTAAGAAAAATAAACAAACAGCTCAATTCACAGCTGACTGTGGAGAAACCTGTGTGGGATCACAGCAGGAGAGCAGCTAAGTGGCTCGTTTTTTTATAAATTTACAATAGTGAGTAGAGTGGGTTCTTTCTGATTGTATGTTTTTATTGAGATTTGACTCTTGATTCAACTTTAAAAGTATGAAACGTAAGTGCTAAGTTAGCCTGGAGCAGTGTTTTTAGAGCAGTAAGACTGTGCTATTTTCTGGGTCTGTAGATTGTTAAGGTGCAAAGATGGCCTTTAGTAGAGTGATGTGCTCTTCCTGTCGGACGTGGGAAATTAGGGAGAATTTCCATGTTACAGATGATTATGTCTGCAGGAAGTGTGCTTGGTTGCAAATCCTATTGGATCACATGGATTGGTCAGTGCAGCAGTCAGAGGCAATAAGGAATTTACAGGAGCTGGGGGTGTGATGGATGGCGGTTGCAGGAAGGGAGATAAACTGAAGATACAGTCAGGTAGATGGGTGACCTCCAGGAAAGATAGGAGGGGGAGGAACGTAGTGCAGAAGTGGCCTGTGGCTATCCCTATCTCAAACAAGTATGCTGTTTTGGAAAATGTACACAGCAATGGACTTTCAGGGTAATGTAGCACTGACAGCCAGGTTTCTGGTACTGAGACTGGCTCTAACGTAACGAGGGGTATATCAGTTTCCAAATGGTCAATGGGGACTGTGTATTGAGAGGCACAGATAGATGTTTCTGCAGCCGACAT